CTGCGTTCAGCAGAACACGTGTAGCTCCGTTTGTTTAAAAATTAGAGTGAATTGACCTCTTATAAAATTTAAAGGTATGATTGTTATCTAGACAACCTCATATGATTTTTATTTTATTTAAATTTTAAAGGAAGTTATGAGTATTTTAAGRTGCACAAAAAATTTACAATTTTAAAATACTCATAACTCGCTTTAAATTTAATATAAAATAAAAAGCATATGAGGTTGTCTAGATAATGATCTTATCTTTAAATTTTATAAGAGGTAAATTCACTCTAATTTTTAAGCAAACGGAGCTACAAGTGTTCTGCTGAGCGAAAAATGTACCATGTTACGCATTTGTAAGACGGAGACTCTTAACAATTAAATGTTTAAAATATTTTGAGTTGTTTGTATCACAAACCAATTCACACAATTCTATGGTATGTCAATGTAGATTACTACATAGATCAGAGGTATTCAAACTGTGCGTCGCGGCTCCCAGGAGCGTCGCGAGACTTTGCAAAGGGAGCCGCGTCAAAGCACCGAAAACCAACATCATATACCTAGGTCCTGTATAATTATTATAAATATTATCTGCAATCATTATTGAAATGAAAACGACACACCTTACGATTCGAACATTTGAAGTTTTATTTCTAGTACTAAAGTCACTGTTATTATCACCCATATAACATATATCTCCCATATTGTATCCGTGTGTTGTTTCAATTTTTTCATAATAATTTGGGAGCCGTAAAMATATTGTGAACACCCAAAGGAGCCGCGTGCTGAAAAAGTTTGAATACCTCTGACATAGATAATAAAATTAATACCTAATATTATATTTATTGTAATATTAGGTAAGCAATATTTGTTTGTCAATAATTAGTTTAACCTGCTGTAATAAAAATAATAATCTTTTGAAGTTATATAAATGTATCATAAAGTATCTTTAGAAAAAAGAAATAGACTTTTAGTATAAGTAATGCAAAGATTTAGCATTATAGAATATAGTTCTCTTTCCGATTTTCTAGTTGACATATTTTATTTAATAAAAGTAGATAAATTCAAACCTTAGATTTAAAAAGATAAAGTTTTATGAATTTCTAACTCAAAAACTGCAAATTTTCGTGATTTTTATGTATTTTATAAAAAAAAAAAAATGCTTATTAAAAAAAATTGTGATTTGTATTTGTAATATTATGTACTTTTAATATGTTTTAACTGTCGTTGTCACAATATATTAAGAGCCTTGTATTAAATTTTGAAGCTTTTTTACCAAACAATTAACATTTTAATGTAATTTCTAAAAAATATTCGAAAATTTCAAATGTCTATAAATAACTTCAAAAATTTGAAATATTTTTAAAATGTTATCATGTATATAAAATGTCAGTATAACATTCAATGAAAATTGTATGTGTCTGTTTTTGAATTACAACAATATCAAAATTAGATTTTCTCAAAAATTGATTTTCCGTAAAACGTTTTTCTTAATTTTTTTTGATTTTTTTTTCGTTGCTTTTTAAAACTAATGAGAAATTCAAAATTTGACCTTCCAGTGAAGCATTATGTTGACAACTTATCGTGTACACACAGGTACACAAAAAACACACAAAACATTGTAAAATCAATGGGCACAATCATCGCTCCATTCGGAATCTAAAATATCATAAATATAGATTAAATTGTTGATTTAAAATGCGAATTAATGTATAAATTTGTAGTAACTTCCAGTTTGCCATTAAAAAAAAAAAAAAACATTTATCCTATATAATTATAAGGTATACTATTTTAGGTAACTAACATTAAAGTATAATGTTTGTATAGGAATAAAATATTTAAAATGAAACTTTTTTTTTACTATTTATAACTCGCAAGGACATTGTAGGTAGACATTTGAAGTAATTCAGTCGGAATATACTTACCATGTATGCAGCTGTAATTAATAAAATAGGATTTAAAATGATTGGGAAATAAGCTAAAATATAGAACAAGACGTGTAGATACATGAATAAAATATTTATGCATTTTCAACTAATTATTGATTACATTATAATAACAGTATTTGATTAAAAATATATATAATAATATAATATAACACAAGAGTCGGCCGCGGTCATGCACATGGATTTTGGAAACAAAACTATGACCGATATTACTAGCTCGATAGTCGTACAGTATACATTACTAAATATCATAGAGTATGTACAAATGCGTCGAGTCAATAAAAGATTTGTCCAAATTTTCACGTTTTTAAAAATTCAGCAAATGTTTTTAATTTAAATTACGATTTACGTTTCATATCCATCTACAATAACCACCCAGACTCTTTAATTGATGATGATAATAATTATAATGATAATAGTAATAATAATATATCCCGTGTACCTTCAATTTACATAAAATACAATAAAAAAAAAAAATTAGAAGATACGAGTAGGTATATAAATTTGTAAATAATCATTCGTACAAAAATCTACCATACAACGAAATAATAATAATATTATAATAATGCGATTGTAATATATTAGATAGATTGTATTTTATGTACCTTGTACCTATACGTAATAAGTAGGTACATATTATAAAATGTTCAATTGCACAAATACCAAAATAACAATAATTTTTTAGTAACATTAACATTTTTTAAACATTTCTGGTATTTATAATTTATAGCCTTATTGGTAAAGTTACATACAATATCAATATCATAA